TGCGTCCAATATATTTCTCATGTCTCTCTTAAACGAAGCGCTCTACTTGGCCGTTAGATTGGGGCCGCAATTGTGACCAAGTCACATGTCGGACTTCCCGTTTTTGTCACAACTGTCGGAACAGTGATGACGTAAATTGTGCACCGTTATCCGTCACGATGTCTGTGGGATGTCGTAGCTGGAAATACGTTCTTCCACCTTCTTACAATTATCTCGGCAGTAGCTGCCTTAACATAGAACACTTTCAGCTAGTTTGACAAAGCATTGACTCTTGCTGTAAAACCTATTGTGTATGCCTCGCTGGACCCTCCACTCTACCGTCACGTACGATGCACACTAAGAGGAACTGAATAAAGACTTCAAATGCTTAACTGTGTTTGAACACGAGGTGTCAATCGGCTTTTGGGTAAGACATACTTTACGTAAAGCTCATGTTTTCGTTGGCCAAGTTTGAGCAGTAGAATCTCCAACTTTTTCTTATCCTCGAGCTGTGCTCCTTCTTCAAACAGCCCTTCGTATTTTCGAAACCAGACCTCAAAATGCAAACCTCTATCCGGGTCGTATTTGAACTCAGTAATCTGGTCTTTGATTTGCAATCTTTTGCTATTTGTGAATGCTGGCCTAAAAACTCGTTCCATTTCCTTGAGAAGAGCCATCACTTTGGCTGGGCCTCAATAATTCGGTTTAAATGTTGTTCTGACATCGCATCCTTTGACATGCGTCGACAGTTTTTATTAGCCGAGGAATAGGCAGAAAATAAGGCTAAGAGCCGGTTCTGGTGGCAAGGGTTTTAGTCAGGACAACACGAGGGTTTCGCTCCTTCCGGTGTTCTGGCCTGCACGTTGATCGATAGTTTGCCAGGCTGTGTGAGCGATCGTCACGTATGCACGCTGATCAATAATTTCCCACGCTGCACGAGCGGTCGTCACGTATGCATGCTGATCGATAGTTTCGCATGCTGTGTGAACTGTCGTTAGCGCATGCTGTTTGTCTACGCGCATGAGTAAACTAGCGTGCACTTGTGGCCATAGGCCCTAGTTGCGCTGCCGGTTGTGTCCATGTAACACCTACTCTACGTACCTCATTCCGAACTCGATCGCCGAACTGCGGGCTCGGAGGGCAGCACTTGTATTGGCTCTGCAGCTCTAATTCGTCCGCGTCACGCCAGACATTCCGTCTCGTGATTGTAATCTTCGACCTTTATTTTGGACAGCTGCAGGCCCGGCGAGAACCCACATTGTTAGGTTGACCTCAATCCTTCTGGTCACTGGCTCTCAAGACCAACTCAGAAGGGGACCGCCAGCTCAAAACCGTCCTTTTTGCCGCACAGAGCCCACCCGGCTAGTCTGGCAACCTGCTCCCAGTGCCTGTTGGCATTTTCTCAGCACTGAAGTCGTATCTGGAGTGCATCACGGCCAAATTGATGGGTGGTACTAAATTCCGGCTACCAGGCGAGGTGGTAAATTTAACCTCTTGAGCTGCTGACGGAAATCCTATCAACTTCGCGCATCGCCTGCGTCAACTCATGCGCTCACTATTCCTAGTTCTGCCTCGAACTCCTCCGACTGTATCTGATGTCGAAAAAGGCTTGGCCAACTGCACTCATGTGTAGATTCGATGCGATCCAGTGCAAAAAGCACTGGAATCA